TCAGCTCAGGCGTCACGTGTAGAGACGTTAGGTTAATTTGAAGCAGGAAACATGACAACTGTGCAGTGCCCTCTCCAGGACTCAAACCCTGGACCTCTCGAACGCTCGTGGAGCATGCTTCCAGGTACACCACGAAGGCATGCAGAAAGGAGGGCGAAAATACGTTATATATATTAAGATCAAAACTTTATTTATATGCGCTAAAGCCTACTAAAGCGTTTTCTTATTTCAACAAAAATTATAATATATTTATAAGGTATTTCTACCGTCTTCTTAGCTTGCCTTCGTGGTGTAGTAGTCTGCACGCTCGGCACGTGTTCGAGATGTCCGTGGTTCGATTCCCGGCGAGTACATTGCTCACTTTCAAGTCTCCTGCTTCTAAAAAAAATCCTAATGTCTCTACAGTGGCGCCGAACTTAAAAAAGTGGTGGATGACGATTCTCCACCACCAGGATCTGGCGATTGGGTTAATTAAAACCCCAGTCGTCCTTTAAAAGGGTGGGTATATAAGGTATTTCTCCCTCCTTCTTAGCAGCATGCCTTCGTGGTGTAGTGGTCTGTACGCTCGGCGCGTATTCAAGAGGTCCCTGGTTCGATTCCCTGCGAGGGCATTTCTAATTTTTCAAGTCTTCTGCTTCCAAAAATATCCTAATATCTCTCCATGTTTTAAAAATAAAGTATGTTGCGTGAAAAAAATATTTTATTCAACACTCACCATCAGTGCATGGTGGATGTCGGCATCTGGCCGATGTAAGTGAGAAGTAATAAAAGTTAGCAAATATTTCGGACACCGAGCGACTAGAATTTCAAATACAAAACACCAATCATCTATATTGTCATTTAAATTTTATTCTGTTGTTCTCAGTGACCAAAATAAACGAAGATGATCTTTAAAAAGTAGTAAAGCAGTTCATATAAAAGCAATTTTTTTTCGCATTTTTAATTTAAATGTAAGTAGGATATTCCAAAAGAAAATTCAAAAGATGCCATAAGAAGAAAAATGTAAACTTTTTATGGAGTTGAAGGAATTCTTGTCAAAGCTAATTTTCTAAAGAACGTGTAATGTATTGATATACTTTTTTTCATACATTCACATTCTTTTTGTTTAAGAATAAAATTATTTTCAATAAACGAATCCTGAAAAAGAATATTAAGTTCCTTAGCTTTTACACACAACAGCGTTGCATTATTTAAAGTTTTTGCAGTTTAAGATACTTAAGTAAATAGAAAAAAATCTAAATAAGAGCTACAAATTGGCGCTGTTGGCGACATTGATGTTAATTACATTTGAATTTGTTTTTCGAATTCACAGTTTTCTTTGTTATTCAGCAATTTTGATGTGAATCAGTTCGTAGTATTAGAAGGATTGAGATGTTAAACTGTTTTGAAGTGTATAGAATTTTAGTGACTACATTAATAATAAAAATCTCGTAGAAATTAAAAAGAAACTGCTACTCTACATTAAAAAGGTAAAATGGCAATGTTTTTTTCTTTTTAATTTGGTCAGAAATGCACATTGTAACAGCAAATTCATGCTATTTTAAGAGAGCGTAAAAAATGGAAGATTATTTTCAATAAAGACGTTATACGTTCAGCAGACATTACGATTTCATGTAGAACAGTATTACGTATTAATATCATCATACGATTAATCTATTAATTCGGATATATTCAGAATCTATATTAGTGAAGTATATACTTATTCATATATTAAAGTTGAGACCACGCGGGCCGCCTAGACAGTATAGTGGTTAGGGAAGCCTAGTGCGTTACCGAAGGGCCCCAGTTCAAATCCGGAAAAAGGCATGGATGTTTGTAAATGTATAGTGTCTTTGCAGCATGGAGGTACTCTAAATATATAGGCAGCCTAACGTCCTTTTGAGAGGTTGGTTGTAGGGCAAGAGGGGGTGGGAGGCACTTTAACTCGTCCCCCCCGGGGTGCTGTCCTTCAAAACTGGAGGCGGAATTGAGCAAAGTCGTAATCTCACTTGTATGGTGCTAAAAGCTCTTGCCAATTACAGGTGCAATCTTGCTGTTCCCTCCCCGATGACATCTGTGGTCTTGTTCTGGTGTTACTGTCAGGCAAGTCAGATAAGTCACAAACACAATAACAACAAATGTTGAGACCACGCAGAATGCTTTGTTTTCACCATATATTTTCCAACTACTGTCCAAAAGCACATAAATACCATATCATTACATACGGGAAATATTACATCAAATTTCTTATATTTAGAGAATTTGGTGTAAAAAAGATATTTAATTTATATTTTTTATTGAAATGAATTAATTTTTCTCCAGGAATCATAGAAAGCAAAGTTTAGATTTTTTAGCTAACGCTTTATACATTTCCCATCGTATATATGTAACTGTAAATTGTTTTATTCCCCGTGCAGTGCAGCGCATACGAATATTATGAGAAGGCTAAGCCGTAAAAATTAAAAGTACATTTAACATTTAATAAATAAATATAACATCCATATACAATAGAATTCGGAAATATGCAAGCGGCAGAAACAGGCAACGAAGAAAAAACAAATAAAATGAAATAAATAAATATCTTTATTATATGCGGCTTAAGTGTCTGTTTGTCGCCGATAGTTTATGGGTTGCTTGCGTAACTGTACTAGCCAATGGGGCGAAGTTGCCACGGCACAGGGTTGCCGTTTCATTTGAGACGTAGACAATTTCCTGTAAAACTTGCCTTTGCTATGACCATCAATAAGTATCAGGGCCAAACGCTTAAGCGTGTTGGCATTTTTATACCTGAGCCTGCATTTGGACACGGTCAACTTTATGTGTCCTGTTCAAGAGTTCGTGAAAGAACGGACGTAAAATTAAAAATAATGGATGGTCCTCTGCAAGGCGAGCTTAAAAATGGTGGAAAGATCTACACAATGAATGCTGTGTACAAAGAGATCTTTGACATGTGAAATAACATTTTATTATTTAAATCACCTTTATTTATTGAGCTAGCGGTGGCTTTTAAGAAATGTACCGCCAGTGGTTTCCTTCACTGCACTCTACTTTAAGCAATTAAGCAAGTACAGAGGCTGTTCACACATTTTTTAGACGATGTATATTGTATTCACAAAACTAAATTACATAAAATTCTTGTGTTTTAAACGTTCTATTTGACATCCCTTATTCTGAGCTATCTTTCGACACCGCAATTTCCAGGATAATAATGCCTTTTGAAGTGGCAGAAGAGATATTCTATCCCCTTCCTCCCGAACAGCTTTCCAGAGTCCTGTTAGCGTTTTGGGACAACGTTTGGATAATGCAGTTTTTAAAAGTCCGAAAGCACAAAAATCCATAAGTGACACATCGGGAGATTTAGTAGGGATATCAGTCAAGGGTATGGCCTTGATACCAGTTTTTGTTCCATTTCTTTTAGGAAATTTACAGTGGATTTACACTACTTTACTACTGCAGTCTACTTTAAGCAATTAAGCAAGTAGAAGGAGGAAACCCCGTGGGGCAGTAGGGCAGTAAGCAAAGGGGCGTCCTCGCCGCCTAGCCTGGATAATTCAGTTTGAATTAGCAGACACCTTTGCGCAAATCATTTTAATTACAATTTATAATATCTAGAACAGCGGTCATTTCGTATGACTGCCGGACTTTCTAGTATATATATATATATATATATATATATATATATATATACGCTATATTTTGTAAATCAGAAATAAAACCAGTTTGTACGAGATTCAGAAAAGAGGTTTGGCGTGTAAATTACTATTTCCTAACTGATGCCAAACTGATCATTAAAATGCTAACATCCGAGCTTGCCATTTATAATTCTGTTGTGATTATGAACATAAAGCAAAAGAATCTGGAAGCAGTTTTAAAATATTTAATTTAAATTCTTATATTTATCAAATGGGAAGTATTTCTTTCAGTTACTGATACTACAGCAAGTGACAAGTCATGTAAATAATTGATAAAGTGCTTAAATTTAATTTCTTTCTGTAAATTAGTACAAAATGTGGCATTACAATTTCGTGTTTTAATTTATAATTGCATATAATACATTTTTATGCGATGTGTTTGGAAGACGTGGGTAAAATATTTATACCTTTTAAATATTAATACTGAATATATCAATTCAGTTAAACAGTTTTTTTTAAAGAAGATAATACTTGGAAATCTTTCAACACTAGATATAGGTAAGGTTATATATACACTAGATATAGATATATATAACACTAGATATAGGTAAGGTTAGTAGTCTATTAACCTTACCTTAGTTAGACTTTTAACCTTACCTATATCAAAGTACTTATATAACTTATATACCTATATCAAAGTTAGGTATAATCAAAGTTAACCTACTAAAAATCAAAACAACTTCTTATATTACTCAACAGAACAAATTTCCTATAAGTAAAATAATCATCAAGCTTTAATGAAACAAACTAATGAGTTAATGAGTAAATATTTAATGATGTCAATAATAAATTTAATATCTAAAGATATATTTAACACTAGACGAAATCTATAATTTTAAAAAATGAATAGCTCTTATTTACATTTTGCTCCGAAAATTTTATAAAATATTGAAATAACTCAGAAAATTCCTTCTGAATATCTCTTCTAATTTTGTACATGAAGACATAATGGTAACTTTACTTACTTTAATTTTTTTGCTATGGAGATACTCTAAAAAGTTAGATTTTATGCTTACATAATCCCTAACTTACAGTACTGAAATTATTTTCTTAGATTTTTTCCCCTAACCTTATTTTAAAAGAGAGTATAGCATGTATGTGTAAGACTAATGTTTCAAGAAATAAGTTATAACCAACTTATTTTAACTACCTGTGTAACTGCATCGTCATTTAAAAAAAATAAGGACTTACAGAGCATAGGAGTAGCGAAACCTCTACCAAAATTATTTTCGCATATTTATGTAGTGCTAAAGTGCAATATCAATGAAATACGATTATTTTACTGCAGTATTTTAAGACACATAGTTAAAAAACGATATTTTAACTTACCCTTTAAAGCAGCAAACAACGTGTCGACTTCTATCATATAATTATTAAATCTTCATAACCAACTGAAATGAAAAAAAAAATCATTTTATAACGCAGCGAAATAATTAATGTGCAGCAAGAAAAAAGGCACAGAGTAGAATTAACACTAATTAAAACCCGAATTCTCAGAGTTTCTGAAATCTTCCGAAACTTGAATTTCTGAAATAGTTTCATATAAGAAGTAGAAAAAAAAAATCGAAAAGCTACTTGTAAATTAATATTAACTATTTGAAAATTTCAAATTCTAGTTTAACAGAGCACAAATTAAGAAAACAGTTTTTAAAAATGCACCTACATTCATTGAAAATCTTGCAAACGAAATTTAGCAAACGAACAACTTAGGTAAACTCTTGGCTCACTTTCAGGTTCAGCTCTAGGTTTATATTCTAAACATAATTTGACAATAACTATTTCATTAAAATTTCCGCATTAAACTTTTTGCATTTTTCGACAATTATTTTAAATCAATCTCTCTGTTTTTTAATTGTCCGGCTATCCTTGCTGAAATGTTAAAAACTGGGGTCTTGTTTAAGATATCGAATCTTTACGATGTTACCTTTTTGAGATTTCCAGGGCTGTCATCTTCGGTCATGGCACTATTTGAATAGGTTTTCTCATAGACACGACAACAACAGTTATTTTACGTTTCGAATATGTACTGTCACTTCTCTCTTTCCGTTTTCCTCCCAGAATGCAAATTAGCTCGCTTGTACTTAATGAGTAAAGATTGGAGGCTCCCTTCAGCCCACCTGGATACTAGTGCCCCTAATACCTCAGAGTGTTTGTTTCAGCTAGAGTGAGTACTGCCTGCTGAAGGCCACGTCACTAGTTGTTATTCTAAAATAAGAATTCCTGTTTACGGCGTTGCTTATTCTTGCCGATGATAGTCAGTCAGTGACTTCACAGAAGGAGCAAAACTCATAGTATAACATTTCTGCAGGTGACTGTAAACACATTCTCGAATGCTAGCTCCTGGCAGGCCATTTTAATTCTAGCTGGTTTGAAACCGCTACATAGTGTTAATATCAATAAAATTCACTTATAATTTTATGCTAATTATAGCAGCTATTTGATTCCCATTTGTATAAAATATTTAGCGCTGAATGCTAAGTATTTAGCGCTGAATGCTAGATATTTAGCGCTGAATGCTAGATAATAATTCAACCATTATTTCAGGTTAGAGTTCATTACTGGTCATTACTGGTTTACTAAAGTCTTAGGACTTAACTTCCGCCATGCACCAAACTATAAGTGAAACTCACAGTTTTTAAGCAACTGATCACATAATTTACAGAAATTCATCAGTCTACAGACAGCTGTCCATGTGGCATCTTTTCTTAAGGCAGATAACTGTCAAGTGTTATGTTAAACCTCATTAATATAATTTCATTTATAACTTGAAATAAAAGAAAATTATACGCTCGATATTCTTGATACCATATTATATCAGGTGGTAACTGTCTAAAATCCTTTAATAAATATTAGAGCAGTTGCAAGCTTCAGTAGAATTCCGTATTTAGAAAGAGTTGTCCTCTCTTGCGGAATTTGTTTTCCATCCATCTTCTTTCCTTGTCAACATATTTTCGTCGATCGTTCTTCCAGTGACGTTTGCTTCTGGTTCGTAGAATATACCAGCTTTCCTGTTGCATTCCAGAAGCTCAAGAAAACTGGATAGAGAATTTCATCATTTAAATACCTCCTTTAGATTCATCGAAAATCTCGAAAAGTTAATATAAACTTGAGATTTTAAGGACACTGAAAATTTGCCGAACATACCGTATTTACAAGTTTTTTCGAAAATGTAATTAACAATTCTTTTTCCGAGCTTTTTAATGTCTTTCACAGTTTTGAGTTCTAAAAAATTTGCCATAATGATAACGCTTTTGGAGAATTATGCATATTGTTGCATAGATTGTATAGATTGATGCCCACAAAACCGATTATATCTTAATAAAATTTATTTTACCAAAAAAAAAAAAAAAAAAAAAAAAAAAAAAAAAAAAGGAAGAAATCACAGTTCTGAAATTTTTCATAAAAATACTCCTACAGCTCTATCAGTTACACCACATAGGCATGCGGAAAGGAGAGAGAAAGTACCTCTTATACCCCCCTTAAAGGACAGCTGGGGATTAGGGCACTCAGTTGCCAAAATCTAACGGTGGCGAATGAGCCTCTATCACTTTTTAGTTTGGACGCCACTTGTAGAATTTTCAGTGTCAAGAAATTGGAAAAAATCAGCAATACCCTTGCCGGGATTCGAACACTAGACATCTCGAATATTCACAGAACGTGCTTTCCAGTTATACATGAAGGCATGTGGAAAGAAGAGAAGAAAATACCTCCTATGTACTCGCTCTTTTAGAAGGTGAAGGGGGATAAGCTGACCCAATCGCGAAATTCTAGTAGTGACCAGTTCGCGCACCACTGTAGAGTCTTTTAGAATTTCTTCTTCGATTTCAGGAAACTGAAGAAATCTGCATTGCTCTCGGCAGGATTCGAGCTACGGAGCTCTCTAATACGCATCCAGCGTGCTTCCAGTTTCACCACGAAGGCATGCATAAGAGAGGGAGAAAATAGCTTATAAACTATTATTCATTTTCATCATCAAAATAGAAGCTAGAGTATTTTTAGAACAAAGGTATGGACGAATTTTTACAAAACGAAATTACTAACAAATTATTTACTTCTTAGAAAGTCCCCCTGACTGCAAAATATTTTTCACCGCGCGCATTTTCATAAAGTACATCACGAACTTATTCAGATTTATTATATGTTCCTGATTAATTTCTTAAAAGTTTTATGACCGAATATTGAATTTTATGATTGCTATGTATTCAGACATGCATATTAAACCTCTTACAAAAATATTTTCTAGCATAATATTTCCTCTGTTTTATCTGATGTATTTATCTTGTTATTAAATGTTTTCTGCATTAATTTTTAAATTAACAAATTTATTTTGAATAATTCTAAAAATTTCTGAAGTAGTGCTACACACAGAAATGTTTTTTGATTAAGGTCCTGGTAAGTTCATGTTAATTCGAAACCATTCTGTGCAGTTTCATCATTCATTACTTATCAACCTTGAATAAGAATAGCAATTCCTTCAAAATATATATATGATATTTTAGCAGTCGTGGTTTTTTATATCTTACACATATATATATATATATATTTAATTCCAGGTACCAGGTCGTCTTAAAATTCCATAAATTATTCTCCTGGTACTTGTAACTTTTTTTTTTTTTTTTCATTTTTCCGAAAAAATAAATTACATCTTATCTAGTTCAAGAGGAAATAATTTTAATCGAAAATCAATATTATCTTCTTTTTCTTTTGCCTGATAAAGAATATAGATAAGCGTGTAATGCATGATTTGCTGTTTTTTTACCTACCTTTTCTTATCCGTCATGTTATTTCATTTTAGAACAAAATGAATTGCTTAGTTATTTATTTTTTTCGAAAGCATTTATTTATGTTTTAATTTCGAAATTGTCATTTATTTACTTACATGAAATTATTTCATTTAGATAAAGAAAATCTTTTTTACTCCCCCTAAAATAAATAATTTTAAATTTATTTATTTTCCCAATGTCAACTTATGTCACAACTCTTGCGTTAATAAATTTATTTTCATAAATTCATGATTGTATATTAATTAAGAAATCAGATTATTAAAAAAAGCTTTTTTTCTGAAGTGAAATTAAATCATTTAAGATTCAAGTGTTACCCTTTTTATTTAATTTTTTCATTCCTCCCCCCCAAAAAAAATATACTCAAAACTTATTTGATTAGTATTAAGTTTTGCTGAATCTGAAAGTATAATACATTAGAAATATTTTAGAATATTAAGAAGAAAGCTTTTAAATGAATTAAATGAGCTCCCTAGCATTTCATGCGGGAAATATCTTCTTGATATTTTTTTATTTTCACGGATAACTGCAAGGTATCAGCGCTCTTAGAAAGAAAAAACTATAATATAAATGTTCCATTTTTTTAAATATTGAATTATCTGGGAATTCGAAGTATTTTTTCAGCGAATGAATTTGAAATAGGTAGAATGTCCTTTTTGTCTTTTACATTGTTGTGAATTTCGTATAATAAAACATGAAAAGTATGAAGAGTGAAGCTTTGCCGAAAAAAAAAGATTACAGGGGCAAATCTATCTAACATTGAACAAATGGCTATCTCTCTAAATTGGCGAGATATCGCTAAACAGGCGATGGTTTTAGTAATTAACTTTTGTGGATAAATTTAACAAAAATTGCCAAAATCAGAGGCCATTTGGCGACATTTTAGTCCAGTTCCTGTGTAACTATAATTGGAACTCTAACTGAATAATTGTAATTGATCTCTATGTATACTGTATGTAACTGTTGTTTATGGCGGGACTACAAAGGAACTGTATGCTATGCATTGTTTCCACCAAATCATGCAATAAATTCGGAACGCTTATGTTCTCTAATTGCAGTCTTAAAAGCAGATGCATAAATAAAGTGTTCCAAAGTGTCCAATTATCGAATTATTGCCATCAATCATAACAATGCTCGGTTCCACATTACGACGAATATCAGATAAAGATTTATTGAGCATTTTTAAGATGTTTCGTTTCAACTCTTACATTCACAAGACTTTGCAATGAACTGTCTCGTGTTTACTTCTTTAGAGACTGTCAAACAGCACTTCAATAATTTCGTTATGAACAAGCATAATGATATTTTTCAAAATAAATTTGACATCTGCCGGAGGGATGGCAAACAGTTGTATGCCCTTAACGAAAGATTATTCTATAGAGTTTGATTTGCTTTGGGAGGATAAACTGGTTCTAAATTCTTAATAGGCGCAAAGTGAATTATCACTATAGTTAATTACCGCTGGAGGCTAGGAAAAGGTTTTAAAACACACTTTTTATTAAAACAGAACTTCGCATATCAGTACATGTCTTATGCTAATAAAGTCAACCACCACCGGGGCGATGTAACTAAAGCAACAGTCAAATTCAAATTTTAAACGTGGACTAGTA